TGTAACTGTACACGTGTGTTATAAAAAAGTAGTGCAAACTTCAGGGTTTCATGGACGGAATTAAAAATAAAGTATTTGATTTGAAGTGACGATAAAGGAACACTTTTTGTTTGGAAATAGACTCATTTTACAAGTTAAAAACGAGTGAGTCTGACCATTTTTGAATGCATTCAGGTGATCTCCAGGTCTGGCGGAAACACTTTTAGCTTAGCTTCGTATAAATCATTGAATCTGAGTACACCGATAGCGGCTCGCTCAACAAAATAAATAGAGTTTTGATAAATGTCCTATTTATAGCTTGACTCATCTGTAGTTACTTTGTGTACTAAAACAATTAAAAATGAAATCCATTCAGGCGATCCTCAGGTCTGGTAGAGCACTTTTAGCTTAGCTTAGCTTAGCATAAATCATTGAATCGCATTGGATCATTAGGGAAATTAAAAGTTGCTATTGTCTAGGTTGAAAAGGCAGGAGCTATACTCTCATTTTGGCATAACATTCAATTACCTTTACTGTGGTAATATACCAGCAGCAGGATCAATGATATTACGAAGCGATATTAGCTGGTTAAATAGCTGTGAACTATTAACAGGTGCTATGTGAAATCATTGCACTGCTGCAGCCAAGGTACAGCAGCAAAATTACACCAGAATGAGAGTTCCTGGCCATATTAGCCAAAAAATAGCAAGTTTCATTTTTCTAATGGTCTAATTCGAATCAATGATTTATGCTAAGCTATGCTAAAAGAGCTGTAACAGACCTGGGGATCACCTGAAGGCATGGGTGCCGCTAGGGGGAAAGTTAAGATGATTCTAAGGGCCCATGCCATCTTAGGAACCCAGATTACTAAATGATTACGCAATCAACACCTCCCCCCCCCCCTCACTTCACTCTCTGCGCCACCACCACCCCCCTCTTCACTTTCGTCTGCAACATCCTTCCCAACAGCTACCACAACTACCCTCCACTTTTATCTGTGGTAACACCCCCTCCCCACCCCACTCTTTACTTTTATTAGTGACACTTAAGCCTGGTTTATACTTCTGCGTCAGGTGACCGGCGTAACCCACGGCGCATGCAACGCGCGTGCCTGTGCATTTATACTTCTGCGCGCTGTCTCTGTCGGTCTGCATTAACACTTCCGAAACGCTAGTTGGCAGTGAGGTGTAAATGTTCCTCTGTGTCGAGTTTCTTTTTTGCTTTTCCTGAACACTTCCTGGATGTACAAGTGGCTCAAACTCGCTCATTTTGAGGCAGGAACTGGCGGACGTGCAACAACTTTAACTATGAGGTAAACACAAAACAAAACTTTCCATCCGCAGCTCCTTCACGGGACTCCACACTTGTAAACAATCGCTCCATCAGGCTTGCGCCATTCGCACGGCTCTCGGTCTTGCCCAGACTCGTCAGCGCTACCAAGCTGACCAGTCACAGAGCTTACGCTACGCGTTGTTGCGACATGTAGTTACATTTTTTAAGAGGTGCACGTCAGTGTTGACGCCGACGGCCACGGCGAAGGGCTATGCGCCAGCGCCGTAGCATACGCTGGCGTTTGACGCAGAAGTATAAATCAGCCTTAAGACTACCCCACTCCGCACTTTTCAAATTCGTCAGAGCCAACCTCCCACGCTTCACTATTATCCACAACATCCCTCCCAACACCTTCCCCATGCCCCACCCCCCTCCCGTTTTGTGTGCAGTAACCGCCCCTCCATTTTTATCTGTGACACTAAGACCCCTCCCCCCACTCTTCAATTTCGTCAGGGACACTCTCTCGCGACTATTCACTTTCGTCCATGACATCCCTCCCAACACCCACTTTTGTCTGCAGTAACACTTAATTTACTATTTTGTCCGCAACAGCAAACCACCCCCCCCCCTTGCCTTTCACTACACAAAATCGCCCGCACCGCTTTAAATTTCATCCGCTACACCTACCAACCCCGCCCCACCCCTCGATACCCCCAACCCTCCAGGCATCAATTTTATCCGCCAGAATGTTATCATAGGGCCTGTAGCGGTAATTTCCGTACAGGACTTAAGCACACGATATATGTACAGAAGAGTCACGCTTGAAATAGGACAGTTATCAGAACTCTTTTTTTTTTTTTTGAATGGTCTAATCCAAATCAATGATCTTTGCTGAGCTAAGCTAAAAGTGCTCCCGCCAGACCTGGAGGTCGACTCAATTGATTAAAAGATGATAAAACTCAACTGTTCAACTCAAGGACAACAATAAAATAAGTCTATTTCCAAACTAAACGAACGCTAAACGAGTGCTCCTTCAAGGTCATAAACCTAATGACAGAATGCTCATTTCAACCGAACCAAATCTCGTACTGACAAACACATTAATCACAATTCTGACACAATAGGATAAAATCCCTGTATATTTAAAATGCTTACATTCAAATCTAACTAATAAAAAAGATCATGCAGGATTTATTAAGATACTATTACAAACGTCCAGCCTCTGAATCTGCTGGTGAACAGAGATCTTTCCGAGGCTCAGGCAGAAGGAGAAATGAGCCGCCAATGAACACCATGATATGAAGCTCTTTTCGCTAAAGCTTAGCATGAGTGAAACTTCAAGATCACATCGTCTTTAAAATGATTACATGAGGAAGCGGCTGCGAATGCCAGCACACATGCACACATGGCAAACTGGCAAAGCGGTGATTGGGAATATCGGTGAAGATGAAGCACGACAGCAGGAGTAACCAATCCTTCTCCATCCAACAGAAACCCTTGAACCAGCTTACCCAGAGCTGTATCTGAAACCGCCCCCTATACGCTTAAATAGCGCACTATATGAGAGAGCAGCCTTTTTTAGTGGTTCAGAAACCATAGTGAACCTTAATCAATCCCACAATGCACTGCAATAATGAGTGTAGAATCTATGTACACTGATCAGCTCGAGCAGGGGTGTCCAAGCTCGGTCCTGGAAGGGTAGTTCCAGTCCCAATCAGACACACCTGGGCTAGCTAATCAAGCTCTTACTAGGCTTTCTAGAAATATCCTTGCAGGTGTGTTGAGGCAAGTTGGAGCTAAAATCTGCAGGACACCGGCCCTCCAAGACCAAGTTTGGACACCCCTGAGCTAGAGAATATCCTTAATGCAGACATCCCAAGTTTCCGGAGGGGACATAGATGATTTGCAGGAAATGAGTGTGTGTGTGTGACGTGATGGGTGACATGAGTGGGGTGGGCGCAATCTATTTAAAGGGGGGAGGGAGGTGGTATTGCACGACGTATAAGAAGGGGGGGGGGTTTACATGACGTATGTGAAGAGAGGGGGGGAGTTAGGTGGAGGGATGCGCGACGTATAGCCGGCAGCTAGCTCTCTGCAACTCACACATGGTCGCCCACTGTAGCTAAGCAGGGCTGCGCTCGGTCAGTACCTGAATGGGAGACCACATGGGAAAGCTAGGTTGCTGCCGGAAGTGGTGTTAGTGAGGCCAGCAGGGGGCGCCCAAACTGCGGTGTGTGTGGGTCCTAATGCCCCAGTATAGTGACGGGGACGATATACTGCTCAGTGAGCGCCGTCTTTCGGATGAGACGTTAAACCGAGGTCCCGACTCTCTGTGGTCGTTAAAAATCCCAGGATGTCCTTCGAAAAGAGTAGGGGTTTAACCCCGGCATCCTGGCCAAATCTCCTAAACATCCCCATATTCAATTGGCTTCATCACTGTCTCCTCTCCACCAATCAGCTGGTGTGTGGTGTGCAGTCTGGCGCAAAATGGCTGCCGTCGCATCATCCAGGTGGATGCTACACACTGGTGGTGGATGAGGAGAACCCCCCCCCCCCCCCCCCCCCCATTGTGTAAAGTGCTTTGAGTGCTATATAAATGTAAGGAATTATTATTATTATTGTTTGTAGAACGGGGTGGTGGTGGTTGCACGAAATATAGACTGGCGGGAGACGTGCAATTTTCGGGAGATTGTCATTTGTTAGCATCCGAGCATTCATTATCATTCAATAGCATCTAGGATTCTCTATGCATATGCGGGAGACTTCCGGAAAACTTGGGATGTCGGCACAATGCTATGTAAAACTTTGTGTGCCGAATGATTTTCCACATCAACAGAATTACTACTCAACTGTTACATTACCGTTTGTATACAGTAGACTCATTGACAAAGTGTTAGCTTGCCTGCTAATGTTAGCATCGGCTAACCCCATGCTAGTTAAAGTGTCCTCCACTGTGCCGAACAGTCGGAGATGCCTTTTGGCAGACGTTCATTCACCATTAATGTATATCCAGCGATGTATCACAAGGTCTGAGCAAAGCATCATCTCTTCAGTGCACTCACTTACTTGATTTACTCCTTTAAGTGAGCTTTATTAGTAGGGAATCAGGAGAGATTTCAGATACAGCCGTGGTGTGCTTATAAATCAGGGGTAAGCCAGGTAGATGTGTTTGAGTTGGAAGCATATTAATGCATGCTAATGTTGCTACACATGTTTCTAAGACAGAAGTGGTACAATCTAGATCCCAAAATCCAAACTCCTGACAAGTTTATCTCCAACCCTGAACTGAACAAGTCAGGATCAGCTGAAATTACAGACAACTGAGGAGGGTTATAGCTAAAGGACAGTGGGCAGAGAGCCCTGATCTACAAGCTCCACAATCACTTCCCTGTAGGGTCCACGGTCTATTTCCTACCAACATTAAAAAGTCAAGATTTATGCAGAGCAATCCTCATAAAAGAGGCATGAAGGCCCCAAGGGTGTTCAAACTCATCCACCAATAACAATCCCTAAAAAACAGAGCAAAACTTTCAGTTCATGTTGTTGGAGCCTCAGATTAAACTTGAACCCTAACCTTAGCCCAAACATCTAAACAAGGGGTGGCTAACCCTGTTCCTGGAG